TCTACCCCTTGACCTGTCAGGCATGACTGGATCTGCGGCTGTGAGGAGCCATCCTGTACAGCACGCAGGGTCATTGAGGCGCGCAAGCCATCACTCCGAGCCAAGGTGCAATCTCGTTGTGATGGAATATGGGTAGTGAAACGAGAAAAGACCTGGTCACCAAACCTAGCAAGAGTGCTGGACACATGCACTGATTACTGAGGGTTATTCTTCCCGTTTTGGCTGACGCATAACGACAACCGGAAGAATAAACGCGAAATTTGACGAAAGATATCTGATTAAGGCATGAAAAAGCCTGTACATACTGCTTCAAATCAGGTGACAATTGCATTGAACTTATATTTGGATGCATGCGACGCGGTAAGCAACTGTTGTAAGTTGTAACACACATGCAATTCGGGAAGATATTATCAGTATCACGGATAAAAGACTGTTATATTGATGATCAAGTTGCTTGGGCTAGGATTCATATCAAATAGACTTCGCATACCCCTTGTATGAGATAAAGTTCGACATAATTGGCCAAGTATACAGTGGTCTCTTTGAGATTGTACATGGGGAGTGGGCGATTGTGCGGGCGGAAATTCTCCGTGGACAATTCGCAACGGAAAGGAAACGTCAGACTCTTGAACGTATTTCTCCTCGTAATTTTAGAAAATCAATGAGAAGCCATATTTTTTTTCAACACGATGAAGCCCACCTCATTAGGATGTGGTTCCTGCAGTGGAAAGCCAAGACCATGGATCAGACAGATCACAGCCCGGTTTTGAACCCCATCAAACATGTCCGGGGTTTGTTGACGAAGTGGATTAACACAGGAGTTCCCCACACTGCACACGAATTAAATAGCTAACTTTTATGAGTGGGACGCTTTTGAATTTCAGACAACTCGGATTGGAAGTACCTGAATGTTGTGTTTCAGTCATGAATAACAAAGGTCTGTGTGCTTTCTAACCACTCGGTCACCTCCCTGGGTTAGGTTAAATGGTATTTCGGATCACCTGTGGCACTTATTCTGCGAGAAATCTGTCAAGAAAAGTCAAATCAAAATTCCTTTTCCGGTTTTGATGGTACAAGCAACACAAGTTTAAGGCACAGTTGACGATTTAAGCCGTGTAATAGTAGTTACAATAAATTCGATAAAACAGTCGCACATGAGATAATCTACATTATCGAAAACAAGTGAAACGTCTTTTTGCCTGAAATCATGTTCATCATTCCAGAATCCCGTAGGCATCAACACAGTGTTAGTATGGTGAATGAAACAGACAAATGAACGTTTCCGGGTACACGCTTATTCGCGAAGAAAGCCCTATAATATGCAGTGCTTGGCACGGCATAAAATTTACAGTAAACACCTTGGGAATCTTTGGATAGTTGCATTGCTTCATCGAGATCATGCACAACAGCAGAAAAGGATAGCAAAACAGATTTTAAGACAAGATGCATCATCTGGAGCCCAAATGTAATTGAGTTTGGAGGGAGGGGGGAATAACTGGCCTGCCTCTAAAAAGATCATGATCGCGAAATGTTCTCTCTCGAATAGCCTCTGCTGAGAAAGCCCTACTCACTGCCTTATCATGGCGGACGTGTTTCACCACCAAAGTGAGAGGATGAAGAGCCGAAATCCGGGGCTGTAACCGGGGTGGTGGACCGCTGTTATTTTACCTAGGGCTGTTGACCAAAATTCCTGATTCCAACCAAGAGGAGGCGTACGAAACCCACTCACACCTTTTCGGTTGTGGCAGTGGTGACCGGTTCCATTGGGCATTGAGGTGTATTGGGCACCTTGGATGTATAACCCCGTTCGAAGGGCGTATTATCCGATGAACTGGATTCCGGACCCCGAAGGATTGCGGCTTTCACACCGCCCCACTGCCTTGCGGGCCAGGCTTTGGCTAGCCGCAGGCTCCGGTTGTGGATTCCTCAAGAAAATTCACCTGCCTTGGCCTGAGCAACCTGACGGTATTCAGCCTACATGCAAATCGTNTTTTCTATAAAGATTGTTGTACCGTGATTTGTTTGGCACAATCCAGCATCAGACATGTGTGAAAATACATAAAATGATCATCTAGAAACAAATACTCACAGGGGAAATTAGAATAACATCTCGTGAGTAAATTTTCTTCCCAGGATAAAGAAATGAATCAACTCTTTTTTTATCAAATGTGAGGAAAGTCACTTTAGTGGGCTATATATACGACTAGAGCGTACAGTTTAGCTAAAAAAAGATATCGCACTCAGAAGAAATCTGTTTTGATCATAGAACTTACTCAAAAATCTCGTTCAGTATATGCACAATTTCCGGCGAAGATACAGCCTGTCCAACCAGAGAGATAAACTCGGTCGGAGTGATGTAATTTTTTCCACATAAGGATAGCCTGATAAGTCCTAACTTACAAAAAGAAACGTTATCCGGTTATCATGCAACTCACCTCCAGATCTTCTATTCGAAAACCCAAACCGAGTAAATTGAACGTTTGAAACACGTCTGCCGCAGTGAGTAACCCATCCGCATCGCGATCATACAGATCGAATGCCTCTAGTAGTTCCGTCTCAGTGTCATGCTCCAACGGATTCTGCTCAGTCATATCTTTTGGGAAGAAAAGGAAAACAAATCAAAGCATGCCACCTATTTTCATGTAAACCAAAATATTTTTCTTAGCATTTATATATAATCGATACAAATATCTCATTGACAAAGCGGGGTGTATTTGCTTAGACAGTATCTTACAAAATAGTCCATTTATGAAGCACTTTCTGGGTAGTTGAATGACCTGAAAAAGATTAGCGGCTGCGCACTCCTTACGCGCGGTTTCGACCCACAAAAAACGGGGATGTGCTTCAAGGGCAACATTCTTGAGTGATTCATATGAGTGACTAAGTGTTGTAAAATATTGTGGTAACTCAGATATTACCTCAATTACTCAATTACCTTCCATAAATAATGCACAAGTTTACATTGAAATGTCTCTATAAATGTATTTGTCTTAAACAGACTATATCTTTTCGCGCAAAGTTTCAGTTTGTACGTTCCCGCACTCGTTAAACTTTATCTCCCTCATGGTTAAATCCAAATGTAAGTTGACTCGTTCCGATATATTGCTGTGCCACGGTAACTCCAACCACTTCCGGTTTATAAAGGGTTATAGGATCCGTTGATAAGTTTATCAGGACTGTGCGGAGTTGACGTACTTCAGCAGTATAAGAGGCAGTGGTATTTTCTACACTACCTTCTTATCATATATCAAGGCATAACCAATTACCAAACCATTAGTTTTGGTACCGTTTGCATTTCCTCTTCTTGTTCCACTGATCATTTTTAACGAGTTCACAGACATTTATTTCACCGCTTTACTAACTTATGTAGACCATTCCATTTGCATCGTGTGTGGTGACTATAGCAGGTTTGATTTCACGTTCTTGCTTGTACTACAGAACGTTGTCAACTTTCCGACTAAACTCGAGGCGTGCTGCGTTAACGACCTGATTCTATTTAATATCGGCACTTTTGTTCATACGGCACTGAAACTATCCCCCGTGATCTACAATAGATTCAATCATCCATTATGTACTCGGAATCGTGACCGTCGGCTTCGTCGGTATCAGTGCCAGCCCGAAAATCCCGCCAGACTAAGAGAGATCACAGATTTTTCTCTCAATCTTTTTGATAACCTGAATGAATATTTGAAATTTCGTTATGATACAGGCTGCCCGTGGGAGAATTTATGCGTGCGGTCAGACCGTTCTTTTCCCCCTGCATTTAAACAATTAAGTCGGAAGAAAGTACTTTACTTAACAGTGCATTCCGAAATGCTGGAGAGTGGCTTCTATCACGCCTGTACCCAAAAAAGGAAGGTCTAAATTTCGCCAGATAGCTTGCACATCTGTTGGTTTTAAAGTTCTAGAAAATATTTTATTACAGATGTTGTTTCAGCTGGATGCACCGCTTCCCAATCAAGTTGCTTATGATTGCTCCAGGTCAACCTTCGATTCGCTGGCATCCCTCATTCATTAAGTTTCTTCTTTCTTGGATAGAAAATATAAAGCTGTTTGGCTGTGTTTCTTAGACTATAATGACGACTTCAACTGTGTTGGTAGGACAAAACTTCTTGTTACTCTCTCTCTCCGAGAAGGGTATTCAACCGCAGCTTAACAATCTATTACATAATTATGTCACCCATTGCCTACAGTATATTAAATATAAGAGTCAAAACTCTTCACTTTTACCCTCCAATCAAGGAGTTCTTCACGGTGCTATTCTCTCTCTTCCTGTTCACTACCTATCTTTCTTCCATGCATGCTTTTGATGATTGTTTTCTCATTGATTATGCCAATGATGTTGTGTATGGCATGAAGTTTAGGAATTCCTCCGTGTACCCCAAACGTATGCATGATACTTAACTGCTCACTGATTGGTCTTCAAATTACAAACTTAAAA